ATTTACTTAAATCGAGAATAGTTTCAAATGCATTCATGCAAATTTTCATAAAATATGACACATAATTATGTAAAAGAGAAATGTAGTTTTCGCAGTGTAGGTTCAGTGAATAGCTCCGTTCGCGTGTACTGTGAATAATTACGTTTTCTCAGAGTATCTCTGTGGTGGAACTGAAGGTCAAATATTTCTATCCCTTCAACTTCAAAGTTCCGACCATTACTTTCTTTTCTGTATTGTTCTTTCTTCTGTGCTCATACTAATTTTAAATTTTTGTTTTGGTTCAAACAGAACCGTCGATTCCAGTTCTCAAATACAGTAGACAAATTAATGTTTCAAGAACACGTCACGAGGTTATGACAACCTCTTAGCTGATCGAGTGTAATTCAGTGATTCTGAACTAACAATGTTGCAAAGTTGTAATCATTGTACCCCACTACGCGCCGACTGTTTTAAAAATATTTATATTTTAAAAATCTATATCTTTTTACCAAAACGGTAAAAAAATTCAGCGTTTTTTTTTAGAAAATTGTATAATTTCTTGATTTACATTACATTAGTTTTTAAAAAATATATATTAAGAACCTTTTTCGAGATATCTTGAAATAAATGCATTGCTTATGTACATGACAGGCTTCAAGACTGTTAATTATGCACGATTTCATTGTTAATATCTCGTTTCACAGAAAAATTAATTTTTATTTAGTTGGTTACGTAAAAGACACTTTCTTTAACCTTATATTTCAATTTTATTGAATTCTTAAGAAAAGCCGTCTTACGAATGAACTACTTTAAATATTATTTTAAAAAAATGAAAATAAGTTCTTAAAATCTAAATCTTAAAGCTGATTTTTAATTATATTTAATATGGAACTTAATTTTTAAATAAAATGTACCTATTTATTGTAGGTTTTTATTAGCATTTAAATTTTTAAAAAATAGCCATCTATCCAAATAAAACCATTTTAAATAAGGAATTCTTATTATAAGTATTTAAAAATATCAGCAAATTTCAATCGATGCTACCCATTTTAGTCAACCACTTCTTGCGTGACGTCGAGTTTTACTTCAATTGAAAAATCAATATTGCGAAATTTTTTAACAAAAAAAAAATGGATGAACAAGATGGTTTGAACGTAAGTAGATTTTATTTTTTAAAAGGTCTTCGCGTTTTGGGTATAAATATGTATTTTTTTTTTATAACGACTACCGAGAGTGTCATTTAGAAGGGCAAGGTAAAAGCAGCAGTATTTTATGATGCAAGGCGAGTAAGGATTACCACGCAACTGGGAACATAACTCAAACTTGCCATAACTTGTTATCCTTCGAGATATGGATATACTTTATCATCTCAATTATTTCAGTGTGGGAAAACTTCTAATTAACAATTTAATTGTCATCAATTAAAATACTTTCAGAATGACTTATTGTAATTTTAATACTACTTTCATACTTATTATAACAGCCATTTTATATAAGGTCATTTTAAGAAATAAAACGACAGGACAGTCTTTTCCCTTTTATTTACCACAGAAGAACATAATAATTCCTGGTACTTTACCCAGAAAATCATTGTTAGATAATAATTTGTTTCTTCCTTGCTTTTTCTTTTTCAGAACATTTTAACAGATTTTAAATGACAAAGACCTTGGAAGTAAGTACAAAGCACCAAAAAAAAAAACATAAACTTAATCTTAACTCAAATCACGAAAATAATAATAGAAGCAGTAACAGTAATGGTAGTAGTAGAATTAAAAGTAGTAGTAATTTTTATTTTGTTTTGGAGAACACCTTTTACATTCGAATCCAGTCTCTGACTGCACAGCCCTACCCTACCCAGGTTAAGGTGGTTAAAATCTTTTATGCACAACTGTCATAATACAAAAAATTAGATATATGATACTTAGCCCACGAAATCAAGTCGAGTCGGTCATGACGTATTGTGGTATGTGGAATGTATCTACCTGATTGGTCATGAGCAGATTAACATTTACTTTCGCAGGTGGTTTCCGAGCAGTTGACACCTTAAATTTGTCAAAGCCACGCCTTCCCACCACAATACGTCACCACAGTTTATAGCTAAATAATCAGTTCGCTTACTCTGCGTCGGCACTTTTGATCTCAATGTTCCAGTTTATATACTGCGCAACTCGGATTTGTATCCCTGGCGCATACATAATTAAATTATAACCAATTGAATGTATGACAACCGCATATATTCAATCAGTAGTCTTCTGCGCATCCTTAATTTGTATCCCTGAAGTGGATATTATTTTGGAACATTCAACTGGTCCAAGTGAGCTAACTAATTCTTTAGCAATAAACTGTGACGTCACCATGAAGAATTAATGGGCGTAATATCATACCTTTTTTTTATAGACAGCTGTTCTGTACGGCATCTGTGGGTTGAAACAACAGACGGACTAAATGACAGACAATACGGATTCAGGGAGGGGAGGATAACGATAGACGCCATACACAACGTGACAAACAAAATTAGAGAAAACACAAAAAACAAAAGACACACTATAGTCATCACTTTGGACCTAGAAAATGCATTCAACACCGCATGGACGCCAAAAATTTCAGACATGTTACGAAGACGACACTTACCAACAAAACTGGCCAAAACCTGCATAAACTTCCTACAAGACAGACAAATACAGACAGAGGACATCATAGACAAGACAGACAGAGGATGCCCTCAAGGCTCAAGCCTAGGGCCAATCCTCTGGTTACTGATAATGGAGGATTGGTTCGACAGCTTGGACGAAATCACAACTGACACTGACCTGACACAGGCATATGCAGACGATCAAATTTTAGTACTGGGTGACACATCACTTAAACAATTAGAAAACAAATGGGACAGGACATGGGAAAAATGTAAACAATGGGCAAACCAAAACAAACTAACATACAACACGACAAAAACAGAGACAATGTTCATCCCCTACAAACCAACCAGACCACCGAGACTAACAGAAGACGGCCAAAACCTACAAATAAATGACACAATAACATACCTCTGACTAACAATAGACAGTAAATTGACATGGATCGAACACATGAAACGGACAAGACAAAAAGCCACAGACATCTCAAACAAACTCTACGCAATAACAGGACAAAATTAGGGACGCAGACCTGACATACTCAGATACATTTACGAACACGGGATAAAACCCATGATACTATACGGGTCAGAAATATGGGGACATAGACATAAAGACACACGCATAACACGACACTTACACGCGACAGAAAGACCTTTCCTATTACGGATTACAAAAGCCTACAAAACCACACCAAACTTAACACTGCCAGTGTTGGCTGGAGCACCTCCACTGGCAGCAGACGCGGGAGCGAACCACCACACATACACAACACACCACGATGACATTCTACAAAACAGGAACAAAACCACCGACAAACCGCACCCTGCACACAGACACTTGCCATTAGAACAACACAGACACATGACTCACACCACAATACACATGACTCACACCACAATACACATGGACGCTAGTATCAAAAATGACAGCAAGACAATAGCCATAGTGATTACACACAACTACGCACACACAGACATACAAATAAAAGTAGACACAACCAAGGACATTAACACACTAGAAACCATAGGAATCATACAAGCAGTAAAACACATCACAAACAACCTCAGATAGTCTAACAGAAGGGGCAAAACGCGCCCACAAACTTTCTAACGAGGCACACAACAATTAAAAACAAACCATACAATACAAAGACAAAACAGACATACGCAAAAAAAGACACGACATGACCATGACCCTATGGCAAGATACATGGACCAACGGAAACACAGGACGAACCACACATAACATCATAAAGACAGTACGACACAAATACCTACAACTAAAAAGGAAAACTATACAACTACTAACTGGACATGGAAACATGAACGAATACTTACACAGATTTAGACTACGCGACACAGACGGGACATGCGACATCGATGACGAAACAGAAGACACTAGACATATCATATACGACTGTAACGAACACGACAGACAAACAGCCAGGACCCGAATGACACAAAAACTATACAAAGCAAAGGACTAGACTACCTACCACACGACCTAAACCTAACTGACACAGACCTGGCTAACTGGACCAACGAGTGGGCAGACAAAATGATAAAGGACGAAGACGTAAACGAAGACGTAGACTAAAATTAAAAACCGGAAAACGAATAGCGGTTTGGTGACTTAGGTTTTGTACTCAAAAGAACTAAACCCTATGTTAATAATTGGGCAAATATGTACATAATTTTAAGTAAACATTAATTCATACCTTTAAACTTTAACTCGAATTTAATTTATTTTTGCTTCATACCTTTTTAAATCTGAACTTAATTTTTATTGTTTTCTTGAAATTCATTTATTTATTTTGCGGTACTATGTAAGAATAAGTTAAGATAAAAATCCCATGTTGGGAACAATACAAAAATGTAACTGACAATGTAAAAAATTAAAAAATAAAGCAAGCGAAACGGTCGTCTTCCCCGCTCATTTTTGGAGTGCGGAGATGGGATGGGTTCTCTTGGCAGCGGATTCGCTGGATAGCGGGTATCAAACCCTATGCCTGACGGTTGGGGGGCTGGCCATTCTGGCCAAAAATTTAATTCTCTGTGGCTTGAGGATAGTGTGAGACTCTACCTGTGGCACCACCAACTAAACACTCTATTCGTCAAAATTGGTCCTCCTCAGATTTTCTAGCGGGTGTTACTACAAAGATTATTAATTTGATGTTGCCATTCTTTTATTTATATATATTTACTGGTTCCTTTTTCTTAAAAGACACAATTATTATGACCATCTTGTTAATTATCTTCTATTATTCTTCTGTTATTGTCTTATGTGTTCTGATATCTAACTATTTGTGGCCATAAATAATGTGTATTCAGCTGTATCTTTCAAGCCACAATGTATACATTCATCGGTATCACGATGTTAAAACATTTAAAGTTTGATTGAGTGTTTCGAATACTCGTGCAGCAACTGATTTGCTGTCTCTTCGGGTTCTTTTATCGCCGTGTAAAATTTGTATTGCCCAGCTAATGGTCTGTGTTGCACCTTAAAATGATTGTTCAAGGTATTAACCAAAGTTTTAACCTCCGGTTTAGCTGGACTAACCAAGTTAGAAACCAATTTGTACGCTGCCTTGTCTAGAATATTTATTTATTTTTCTACACCCGTATTATAATAATGCACTTATATGCCCATAATCCGTTTCATAATGATACCCATTATGATACAGATTTTTCATTACGATACAGATTTTTAATCAATAGAAACCTACAATTTTTCAATCAAGCATGCTGTTTGACGTTTGTCCTAGGTTCCTATGTAATTATTTTAGTTGTCAAAACGTATTAAATTTTCGTAGGTAGCTAAACCTTGATAATTATAATATTAAAATGTCTGATATTAGCGATATAGAAGACTCCTCCACACATATCGGAGAAAGCAGAAAATACAGTACAAAATATTTTACCGCAAAAATCTAGGGAAATACCAATACCTGAAGTAATACCATTAATTACAATTTTGTAGAATTTTTTATAGAAATACGAGTAATTACTGTTATTGTGTTCAATACCAATATAAATATAATATTTATAGGTCTTGATTATTTATCGGGTGTAGAAAAAATAGCGTATGCAACTCTCATGTAATGGTTATTAAAACACTCGCATAAACCATACGAAACTCGCCTTTGGCTCGTTTCGTATCCCGGTTAATGCTCGTGTATTAATAACCATCATTACATGATCGTTGCATAATATACTATTTTTTGCACAAAATAACAACATTTTTGTACAGTTAGCATGGACGAGGTTTAGCCTGTGGCTATTCTTACACCTAACCCTATGTTATGTTATGTTGAGAATGGGGTGTTAATACACTGTGACCTATAAGATCTATTGTGCCCCCTTCTGTCGCCACTGCACTAAGGAAATGTCTCAATGCCTATAGCGACCCTTCCAATCCCATTTTCTCAAGAAAGTGTAGGGTTTGAAGTGGCTTCAAGTTAGGTAAATCTTCCTCTTCTCTTTGATATCCTCCTAGATATAGTGCCCTTGGATTCTGGAGTACCACACATTCAGTTAGAATGTAAATGGAGGTTTCGTCCTTCTCTTCACAGAATCTGCACTCACTATCTTCTACTACTCTCAATTTACTTAGGTGTCCTTTTAGTCGGCAATGCCCGGTAGGGATCCCTGTTACAATACGTAGCCTGTTCTTGCTCAGGAAGATGCAGGCTTCCGATCTTTTCTGGTTATATTCCCAGAAGTATTTTGGCCTGTCTCAGCCCCAAGAGATTGTTCCAATTATCGGTTCTTCTACTGCCCAATTCTTTTTTAATCTCTCCTAATATTATGTTACTGCTGATACCACAGAACGGTTCAGGACCTACAGAGGGTGTTTGAGCCCCTTTCCTTGCAAGACTATCTGCAATCTCGTTACCCTGTACCCCGTTATGTCCCGGGACCCAAGTGAGAGTTCTTGACATCTCCAGAACATTTTTGATCTGATTACGTAAGAGCTCGGCGCTTTGATGGCTGCTTGACTATCGAACATGATGATAATCTCTTGTCTATGATAGTTTCTCTCGATGTTAAACTGGATAAACTTTTCGATGGCGTAAATTTCCGCATGGAAGATGCTTGGGTATTTTCCCAAGCTTTCGGAGTGCTTGGTTCTCGCCCCATACACTCCTATTACAGTTCCTTCTTTGGTTTTCGAACCGTCCGTATACCACTGAATAGCACGTCTTTCGGTTGCAATCGGGATGGATTGTTGGCTCCATTCTTTCTTGCAGCTTAGCTCTATGGTTTTGAAGTTTTTCACAAAACTGTACTTCTTTTCCATTTTATCCTGGGGCATGTCCCAGGTATCTTTAGTCCTGAAGCAAGTAGACTTTCATCTGATTACTCCGTTCCTGATCATTCTATATCGTGTCCTTTTTGCCACATTCTCTATCATCAAATGTAGAGGGGTGAGGTTTAAGATTACCTCCATTGCAGCCGTAGGACAGGTTCTCATTGCACCAGTAATGCAAACACAGGCTAGTCTTTGTACTTTTGAGATATTAGCTCTCGTCGTAGCTAAACTAGTTCTGTTACTCCAGGCTATAGCTCCGTAAGTGATGATTGGTCTCACTATTGCAGTGTACATCCATCGCAGTATGTTTGGGTTACATCCCCATCGTTTACCTGCAATGTTTCTGGATACCATTAGGGCTTTTGTGGCCTTATTTACTACTTCCTTCTTATGTGTGTTCCAGAGAAGTTTGTTGTCCAGGGTTAGGCCTAGATATTTGACTTCATTTTTCCATTCTATATCTATCCCGTCTAATTTAACGGTTTTTAGATTAAGTTTTCTTTTTCTTCAAAAGGCTACTAGTGTTGTTTTTGTAGGGTTGATACTAAGTTCCACTTCACGGAACCATCTTTTGGTATTTTCTAGTTTTCGTTGGACCATATCACACAGGATATTACTAAACTTGCCACTAGTAAATATGAATATGTCGTCGGCATAACATTAACATGGTATGCCGAGGTCAGACAATCTGCAAAGAAGTTCGTCTACGATTAGGCTCCACATTAGTGGGGATAGAACTCCTCCTTGTGGACATTCTCTGGTTGTGCAGATGGAGATGGTAAGGTTGCCAGGTCGAAAAATCAAAAATCACTAGAAATATATCCAAAAAATCACTAGATCGAATGAAAAATCACTAATTTTTTATATTTCTGTGCCTATATAAACGTAGTAGGTAATAGCATTGTGTAAAGAACTAGTTCTTTACACAATGGTAATAGTAATATGGGATTACAATGATTGGATACTTTTTCAATTATCGGCTGAAAACTGTAAATAGTTGGAATGTGGATGAAGTCGGTCATCTAGTGAGTATCAAGTGAGGGTTTGGGATTATAACGCTACTTTCTAGATGGCGGGCTTAGCTTTACATGCAACCAAAGGTTGCGGGATTCCTCGCGAGTTTGAAGGCATAAAACATTCAAAAAATTGTTTTCCTTAATGAAAACCGGAGTTTTTAAAATGAATATTAATTATTATATATTAAGCTCATCTTTTTAATATATGTTATTTCGATTTATGTGTAACCGAATTTTGTTTTATTTGGTATTTTTTTGTCACCTCATAGTCTCAGCTATTATCAGATTGATATTTTTTTATTTAAAAGAAACCAGAATTATAATAATTTTTTAATACACTAAATTTCACGATTGTTTTTGTTCCTTATTTTTCGTTGTGTTACATTATCCAAAGCAGCGGATACATGATACATTTAACTCAAGTATCAATAAGTATCCATTCGATACCGACACTTATTATCCAAGTTGCACATCACCAAAAATAATACTAAATTAGAAATTGTTTTTAATGGTTTTATTCCTATTAAACCAAAACAAACTTGAGACTTACAAAAAGTAACTATAAAACTGAATTTGAAGAAACCAGCGTAAAAATCCGGTACATAACACTTAAAATTATAGATAAAAACAAACGAAGTAGTGAAAATGGTTTAGTACATATTATTGTTGTGTTTTTAATTACATCACTTGTAATAGGAAAATCAAAACAGCTGTTATTCTCGGTATTGATTAGTCTTTTACTGTGTAAAATGCCACCTATTGTTGTAGCACCCAATCGATTCCGTAATTTGGTTTTGTTTAAATTTATATAAAAAAAATAACCTTTCCACACTTGCGCTACTGTGTGGCAATGAAAATAATATTGTAACAAATTTGGCAAGTTCTGGGTATACGAGACTGTCATCCCCTTTTTTAATATTACAAATGTTCTTCCAGAATTCAGTTTCTCCAAGTGAAATGTCAGAATCAGAATACTTTAAATATCTAAATTCTCTATCTAACGAGTTAATGTCCGTAACCATATTTGGAAACATAGTACCCAGAGGGCCTATGCTATCAGTACATAAAACATTTGAGTGATGCAGTATGGTTAACAGTTCCAGAATTTTTATTTCCCGGGAATTCAAGGGGAATCGTTTTAATATTTGGCTTATCGCCTCAATATAAAAATCTAGGCATTTTAATTTAAAAATGTATTTTTCACTTTCAGTTAAACCGTGTTTATTCATCTCTTCAAGTATTTTAGGCCCCAAGTAAATTTTATCGAGTGGTAAAAAATTGTGAGGATTTCGATATTGAACACTTTCTATATCTACGTTTTTTAGGTATTCTGGTTTAATAAAACAACTTAATAAAAATTTAAACGCATTATACATTCCGGGGTATAGATTCTGTACTTTAGGAGTTTCGGACTGAAATTCTAAATTCATATCTGTGAATGTTGGCAATATAAATTCTAAAAATTGAAGATATAATTTATTTATCTTATTAGATAACATGTCATTGATATCTGCTGCTCCCGAAGCTTGATCGAAGGTTTCAATTCTAAAGTAGTTCTCAAGAGCATCATATTGCTCAATCACTCTACTAACAGCAGAAATCAATGACAGCCATCTGGTTTGTGATGGATGTAATAATTTGTGAGGTTTGATATTAAAAATGTTTGAAATTGATTAAATTCAGAAAATCGTTTAAAACTGCGATGCATATAATACGCTTCTTACCAACTTTTCTGCATCGTCCGGTAATTTTTCGCAAACATAAGAAGCACAAAGAGCCAAAGAATGGCATATACACTTCATGACATACAAATCTGCAGCAAATCCTACTAAATTCTCTTTATAGGGAATATTATTTTCGGAAAAAAAATGTGTAATGACATTATATAAATTTTGGGCAGAAGCGTCATTTACTAATATAAGACCGAGAAAATGATCTTTAATAATAAAATGCTTGTTGTACCGAACAACAATTGCTAAATGTTTTTCGGATGACATATCTGTTGACTCGTCAACTAATTAAAAAAATTTGTGGCATTTTAAGTCATTAACGAGATTTTCAAAACTTCTTTTTCCCATAAAATTATTTATAATTGCCGTACATTTAGTTCGGCCACAAGCCATTTTTTTAACTTAACTACGCTCCATTCCAGACAAACAAATAGATTTAATAAGCTCTGTAAGATGATCTGACACATTTATGGCAATATTATGTTCTGCAATAAAGGAAGCAATCCTAATTTCAATTTGTTTGATAATATTTTCGGAAGGAATACTAAATTTTTTTTTGACAAAGTTGGCTGCTTAGCCATTTTATTCATATTTTTTACATGTTTTTTTTGAATATTCGTGTTTTTTGATAGCAGCTATGCCGCCTAAATAGTCTTTATTGCATACCTTGCATTGAAAAAAATGGGTACGTTGGGAACTTGGTTGTAGCCATTTCTTAAAATTTTATGTTGCTCCCACTCGGCTTTGTATTTTTGAGAATATATTTTTTCCTCCGAATGGGTTTCTTGGCCCTTTGACCTGACATAGATACAGAATTGTCAGAATCAAGAGTAGAGTCCGATTCATTTGCTGCACTTGACTCCTTTTCTTCAGATTCTTCTTGAACTGACGTAGAAATATAAACTTTGCTTGGACCTGGTTGTGGAGATAATGGACGAAGCGGTTCTTCGTTTTTCTTAGTATTGAGAATTTTTTTCATTTTTCTGGTCTTTGGACGTATAAAAACCAAATTGGTCGATGTAAATATGGTGCTTTCTTAGTTCTCTGTAACTAAAATACTATCCTTTGCGGTACGTGCACGTGCAGTAAACAAATCACAAAAACAATACAATCGCCCTGTCTGTCACACTCTCTCAGCTCTCAGTACTTCCCCACCGAACATCGAAGGATTGAATAAAATATATTTTAAATTCATACATTTTTAAAGCGGCCTCTGTCGAAGTATATAATAACTAACGGTAACCTCTGTTCAAATAGAGACATCTACATTTTAAACACCATATCGTCATTGTATAATGAACTGCAAACACAAAGATAAACTAATTTGCACGCCATTTTCTATCCATACAATCATTTTCTCTAGATAAGAAAAAACTAAAACCGCATTTTTAGTTGAATAGTATTCTGATAGTATGTATTTCCGTAGACGTTTCTAACTTTTATCTTTTCTAGTTTATTTTTGAATTAAATTCAATATCAAAAAAATCACTAGATATATGGTATTTAACGAAAGTTTTCACTAAATCACTAGATTGGTTCAAAATTCACTAGATCTAGTGAAATTTCACTAGACCTGGCAACCTTTCCTGTCCTGCCCTATCTGCGTCTCTGCAGTTCTTGTAGATAACAGCTGAGCCATCCATCTGGATGTGATGTTATCTACTCCTCTGTATGCAAGTGCTCTTTTTACAGATTCGTGTGGCGTGTTGTCAAAAGCTCCTTCTATGTCTAGGAAGGCACACACGACCGTTTCTTTGTTTGTCAGTGCATCCTGGATTACATCAGTCAGCTGTACCAGGGTTGTTTCTGTATATCTTCCTGCTGGGTACGCGTGTTGGCTGTGGTGGAGTGGCACCCTCTCCAGGACTTCTGATATAATTATCAACAGCCTTTTCCATGGTTTTTCAGACAAAGGATGTGAGGCTGATTGGACAGAAAGATTTAGAATGTGTAGTATCCTTTTTCCCTACTTTTGGAATAAAGGTGACTCTGGCCCTTCTGCATTCTTCTGGTATATATCCCAGCTCCAGACTGCTTCGAGATAGCCGGATTAGGTGTGGTACTAATTTCTCCTGTACCCTCTGAAGCAGGGCAGGAAATATTCCATCCACACCTGGAGACCTAAACGGTTCAAAAGTGTTTACGGCCTACCTTAACCGATTTCTGCTGCATATGTGTTTGACCACTACAGCGGCCTCTCTTGGGGGTCTGCTTACCTTAGTTGTGTCCCTTATTAAAAAAGGTGTGCTTCCAAGAAACTGAGTTTCGAGTAAGAGGCGAGCTCTTTCCTCCTCACTCTCCGTGAAGCTTCCATTTGGTTTCTTAATGCCATACCTATATCAACTCTCCCTTTTTCCAGGGCCTTGTGCAGTCTCGCTGCCGCAGGTGTAGAGTTAATATCCTTGCAGAATTTTTTAAATCTATTACGTTTAGCTTTCCTGGTTTCTTTGTTGCAGGTAGTAAGCGCCTCGGTGTAGCTCTGCCAATCTCCGCTGTGCTTGGCCCTATTATAGAGCTTTATATTAAAAGTTTATCTATACAATTTGACATTAGTGGCTCATTTTATCTACCAATTTACATTTGACTAATGAATAGTTGCCTTTTTAAAACATTTTTAAAAACAGGTAGAGATCATGATTTTTTATTATCGGTGTTGTACAAAAGAACCGCGTTATACGAAAAACTACGATTATAAATAGCGCTATAGTGACGAGATATTGATAAATTAGAATTTTTTCTTATGTTTACATTGTGCGTAGACGATCTAAAAGTTAATTTGCTCATAAGATATAATGGTGACGCAGTAAAAAGTATTTTAAAAAGAAAAGAAAAGAACATAAATCTATATAAATTATTAACAGTTAGCCAGTTAGTTTGTGAGAAGGCTTGGAAAATAGGATCGAATTTTTTAAGTCCTTTTGCAAATATGCAGCATGTATTCTGCATAATTTGCGAACGGTTATGATCAGGAGCTGTTAAACAATGATAATACACAACAATTCCAATTAATATTTGTAAAATTACAAGGCTTTGGCAAAGTTTTAGTTTTATAGATTGGTTCTGTAGGATGCGAAGACCACTATAACACTTTTGTAACACATAGTTGACATGTTGACTGAACCTCATTTGATCGTCAAAGTATAACCCTAAATTTATAGGCTCAGTTTCATGTGGAATAGATTCACCAGATATCATCAGAGTTGTATTGTTCTTTATATATTGTCTAATATTTTTACTACAGAATAATAATAGTTTGGATTTCAAAGCATTAATATGAAGGTTATGATCAGACGAATAGTTAAGATCTTAATTAATCTTATCAACTGCAGAAATGACTTCATTCGGCGAAAAATCGAGGAACAGCTAAGTGTTATCTGCAAAAAATTGGACTGCACAATTATTAACGTGTTTGTAGAAATCCGAAGTATAGAGTAAGAAAAGCAGGGGCCCTAGGACTGAACCTTGTGGTACACTAGATTTGATTTGAATGAATGTTGATTTTTGACCGTTTACTGTAACTATCTGTGATCGTTTACTTAAGTATGTTTTTATGAAACCTAATGAAATTCTATCAAATCCATAATATTGACACTTGGATACAAGAAGACTATGATTAATGGTGCCAAACGCTTTGCTAAAATCTAGTAGAACTAGGACACCTGCTTTTTTCTTATCAATACTGTTGAAAATATTGTCAATTAAATGTGCCAAAGCTGTTGAAGTACTGAAACTCTTTTGAAAACCCGACTGATGCAAAGGGATTATATTGTTTTCACAAAGATATTCGTATATTTGGAAATAGGCTGCACGTTCAAGAAATTTTGAAATTAGAGGCAGTAGACTTATTGGACGCAGTTCATTATATGAACAAGAATTGTGCTTTTTAGGTAAGGGTATTATCAAAGCTTGTCTCCAACATTCTGGGAAATGTCCTTGTTCTAAACATAAGTTTATAATATGTAGCAGATAAACATCAATAATATTGAGGCATAATTTTAACATTGGCATGTTTATATTGTTATTACCACCAGCATTTGATTTTATATTCAAAATGATAGTGTAGAGTTGAGATAGTGTTTCGAAGTGAAATTTAATATCTCTACTAAAGGAGTTACTTCTATAGAATAAAATTGAATTAAAGCATCTTTCATTACTGTCTTGGAACACAGAGGAAAAATATTCATTATTGTTAAAGGATTGAAAAGTGAGGAAGGTAAATCGATGTTTTTTGTCCATTAAATTTTCATTTGTTTTAGCGCTTTGTAAAATTTAGAAGACGACTGGTTGTTTAAAAATTCTAGATACGCAGATTTTTCTTGTCTCAAGGATGCCAAAGCAAAGTTGCGAAGTCTTTTGTAATTGTTCCAGTTTTCAGTGGATTTATTTTATTTAAATTTTTTTAAGGTGGTATCTTTAACCAAGTTGCTTTAGGTTTACTTATTCTAGTTGTTCGAAAAGGAGCGTGTTCATCGAAAATTGTAGATATTGCATCTGTTAAATAGCGTAACTTACTTTCAATATCATTAAGATACAGAAGGTTATCCCAATGAATAATGCGTAGGCATTGTTCAAAAACTGAAGAATCAAAGTTCTAATAATCTCTATAAGTTAAAATCTTTGTTTCTGATAACTATAATCAATTAATAAATCGCAATATACCATTTGGTGATCGGTGAAATGGTCAACATTTATAGTACCATGACTTGTGCAATTATTGGAACAGTTTAAACAGTTTAAACAGAGACTTTGACTTTGAAGAATAGTTAAATAATTAATAATTATTTTAAATGCAATAAACTGAATCAATTTACTTATCGGATAGAAAAGGTTAAAATACAACTTTTGCAGTTATCTATGTTGTTGTATAGTTGTACTGTTCAAAAAAAAAATAAATATCGAAGGCAAGTTTTTAACTATTCCAGATAATGTAACCTAAGGAATTTTTTTATTGTACACTTGTAATCTTCAAACAATTTCGACAGTTACTTTTATGTTATCATAAAAATAGACTGTCACGTCCTTAAGGTAACTTGGTAACTGACATATCATTCTCTAGTCCACTTACTTGGATTACATACCTATACCTCAATGAAGATAATCAAAATAATCGCCCATTCTTTAAATGACCATATTGCATGAATACTAAATAATAAAATAATTTAAATATTCTATTTTATTATTTGTAGTTTGATTACATTAAATATTATTTTAATTTTTTTTTTATTTAAATCTCATTATTGTTTAATTCACTAAATTGGAATCAAAATATTTAAACTGGGATTAGCCATGAGTGAGTTGGTTAGATTAAAAGGTATAAAAGGAAAAGTGCTATTATATCTATTTTTGTAAACTGTGATCGGTGATGCACTTCGAAACCGATCACATATAATAAATCATATCTTAGACCTTTTTTACGTAATAATTTAAAATATTGTTACGCAGCACCTTAAAGTAGCCTGCGGCTATAAGAGGAAACGTACGGATAGAAAAAGAAGTGGAATGTTACTCATCGCCCCACAGTGTGCTGCGGTCGTTCTAAGTAAAAGTACAATTAAAAGAAGATAGAATAGTCCGGAAATGTCATTATCCGTCAAGAATATTCTAGACAACAGTTTGCGAAGATTCATAAGGATGATCCTGACGTCAGTTTTCAGTTTTATGATAGACGTTACACGTCAATGTTATCAGTTGCATTGTTATTGTTAAAGTTCAGTTGAAATAAATTGTGAAACCAAAAACCTGCGTAACATTGGTGACAGCGGTGGAATACAAAGTAAAAGTTCATACTACATTCACCGTGTACGAAGCAGGCATGGATACTTCAGGCCCACCAGCATGGTTTTTGAAGATGGAAGAGAAAAGGCGTAGGAAGGAAGAAAAGAAGGAAAAGGAAAGGTGTAGGAAAAAAGAAGAGGAGAAAAAGTAAAGGCGTAGGAAGGAAGAAGAGAAGGAAAAGCAAAGGCGAGAAGAGGAGAAGGA